TGAGCGTTCTTCACCTGTCCAAGAACAAGAACAAGAACAAATGAATAGTCCATCCAACCAACTACAGTCGGAACTGATGTTATTCTCTTCGTTAAAGAAAGGAAATACAGAACGAGTCGGACGAAAGACTGTAGAGAGGGTTTGTCTTGGCATGATAAAGGATTTGCCTGAAGTCATAGACAATAGCTTAGATGAAGACGAACAGGAACTCGTTTTGACAGAGATGAAATGTTTCGTAAAAGAGATTATTGATGAGCTGTACAAGAATGAGGAACTGGAGGATGACATCCCATTGGACTGAAGGTACTGAATGAAAGACAGAATCGTTATGATAAAATTTAGATGAAGACGAGAACAGTTTTGAAAGAGAAACTAAAAAGCAGAAAGATGTCTCAAACAGGGGACATCCCTTGGAAAAACTGAAACCTAGAACTGCAAGCAGAAAGATGTCTCAAACAGGGCTTGGAAAAAAAGAAACCTAGAATTCCAGCTTGTCCTCTGGGCAAGCAGCTCTCACATTTTGCTAACCCAGGGCTACTTCTTGCTAATCTTAATGATTTTGTTATAGGATGACTTGCCTGGAACTTGGTCTTTGTCTGAAAAAATTGGGCAAGGTAAGACCTGAAAATTTTTTAGTTATGTGCCGCCTGGGAATCCAAATTGGCACCCAGAAAAAATTTCCCTAAAAAATCTAGAAATAGGCCAATTTTTATACCCCGTTCTAGAATTGTCCCAGACTAGGGTGCAACAAGGACCTTGGATGGGACCTGTCTTTCGTGGGTTCGAAATATTATACCCGTTCTAGAAAAAGCCTGAAATGGATGCTTAAAACTCAACAGAACAGGGTAGCAGGCTGTTTCCCTTCCTGTGACAACCATAAAATGGCGTGGACTGGAAATCACAAATCCAATCCGATCCCATCCTTGTTTTCAGGGGGGAGGGAGGGGGGGTTGTGGTCACAGGATTTGGGTTTGGAATGTTAAAACTTTGCCAGGCGTAATTAATCAAGTAGAAATCGAAATTGGAAATCAAACGATTTAAGGTGGCTCAACTGGATACCTCCCAAGTTTGAGCATTAACTACGCCGGCATAAGTAAAGATATGGAAAAAAGGTTACCACAACTGTATTATATAAAGATGAAAATTTCCTATGATCTGGGTTTTATTGCAATCGGAATCACCATGGCAATGTAACAACGCCATCATCCAACGTAACATGCACAACTAGCAAAAGAAATAAATTTGCATAAAAAAGAACTCTCGATTACTTTCCAAAGAAACTTTCGGAATATGCTAATAATTGGCTTGTCTCACAGATAGCAGTTAGAACCGAAATGGTGAATGTCTCTGCTCATCGTTTAGGATGCAGAACTTAATCTTACACGGGTAATAACAGCACAGAAACTCTTACAAACAGTTGCTGTGATATTATAATATATCACTAATTTCTTACCCAGTTATTAGCATATTCTGGAGATTTAACCGAGGGTCCTTTTTGATGCAAATTTTATCTTTTTGCTAAATGTGCACGTGCATATGAAACTTGAAAACAATGCCAGTGAATAATGAGAAGCTCACTTGTAAATACAAAATCTGGGGGAAAAATTGGTTATATTAAAATTTAATATAACCAAGTTTTTTAGGCCCTATTTAAAAGCCTTCCCTGTATTCAATGTTCCTGAAACTTGCAGGGTGTAATTTTTTTGACAATTGATCTCGGGATTGTCAAATTTATAAAGAAATTTATCAAGCGGTTTTTTGAATAATGCGAAATTTGTAGGAATGGACCAAATTACCTGCAAAAACTGTAACAAACGCAGCTGAATGCAGGTCAAGAAAATTCTGTCCAGAACAATTCCCCTCTTTTTTTGTATGCAGTTTTCAATGGAATCAACCAATATGAGATGAAGCCGCATTTCCCAAGCTTATCATGTTCTTAAAATAATAGCTAATTGTGTGGATAGCATGTTATTTAACTGTTTTTATGATTCTTAATCCTTTATTTCAAAATATTTCGAAAACGCTCTCACAGAATTTGTTTAAACATTGCCATAATTGAGGCAATTATGGAAACTACAAACTCCCTTAAGTGATTTCTTTAAAAAACTCCTAGAACAGAGAAACACAAAGATAAATAAAAATGTTGTGGCATCGTTTTGTTGCCATGGCGACTCCAATTGCAAAAAAAACCAAGATCATAAGAAATTTTCATCTTTATATAATGTAGTTGTGGTAACCTTTTTCCCATATCTGTACTCATGCCGACGTAGTTAATGCACAAACTTGAGAGGTATCCCCTTCTAAAAAATCCAGACGAACCGCCTTAATCTGCCGATTGTTATCAATATTATTGATATTGGCAATCGATAAAAATTGAAGTTACAGAAAAAATAATTTTGTTGATTATTATCGATTTAAAAAATTGATAAAAATCGAAGGTAATCGATAACAAACCGGATAATCTTGAGGAGTACATGAATAAGGTTCAGATACTCTGAACATGACCATGCTATTTGGCAAACAACACCCACAAGACTGGCTGCAGTTCAGCGACTACTCTTTATCATCTTGCATTTTTTCCCTCTTTCGTTTCCTGGTTTGTTTTAATAGATCTTTCCATGTCCATTCAAGCCTGTGCCATCGACTGCATCTTGCATTTCTTTCCTTGCAATCTTGCTCCCATTGGAATCCAGTTCAATGCGATACAGTTACAACCTGCATATAAGAACCTAAATTTTAAGAGCCAGTTAGGCTAAGATTGTCTATTTAGACCCCCTTTACATAAGAACCTGTTTTAGCCTACAATTTTGAAACATTCAGTCAAGCACTGAATACACACATTTCATAGAACAAGCTCTACCGGTTAGGAAAATGTATAAACTTCATAAGTGGCTTAAACATGCTTGCAATAATAGACCCCAAACAGGCCACACCCACCAATGACAAACACCTTATTTATTTTTAAAAATAAGAACCTGTTTAAGAACCTGAGTGGCCTAATTTTCCTGTTAGCCCTATTTTTATTAGAACCTTCTTAGTCTAACTTGGAAAAACGTAGGTTCTTATACGCGGGTTTTTACTGTATATACAGGGGCACTAAAGACCTCCAGAACGCCGCCATCTTTTGGCATAAGGGGTCGTACTTGGTCGGTGAAAGCTATTTTTTCACTGTGTATACAAGTCTTTTAAGTATTTTATCAGTTTTAAGAAACTGCATAATACCATGATTAAATGACTCAATGATACCAATGTTGAACTTGTACTGAATGATTTAAGTCTTTCCCCATAATAATCGATAACAATCAATAAAGCTATCATTATCGACTTCTATCGGAAATTGAGATTAATCGAAGTCACAACTTTTTCTCTTTATCGATTTTTTTCGATTGATATCAGAAATTGATATCTATCGATTGTAATGGATTATCAGTTTATTGATTAACTTCACCTGGATTTATAACAGAAATTTCGTACCACCAACACAGCAATCAATTACCTTATCCTCAAGTTACAATGTTGTAGTATCTTTTTTATTTTGTTGTGTCTTAAAATGGTGCTATTACGCGTATCTGTAATTAGTAATTAGCTAGTTGTAGAATTCTTTCCTTTTCAATAATATTATACCAAATCGTTACATCATATGCGACGATATGAATTTCATAATCGACATGTAAATTTACCATTATGTATGTGACTCAGTAATATATATTGTAAATCTTGTTTATGTGCATCCTCTCAACAGTTTCATGTTACTTGTTGACTGGTAATTTAAAATAACAATTTTTAAATGACCGTACGATGTAATTAATTAGTTTTAGAATAGTAGTATTATCTTATTCTTGAGAACAGATTGAGCTCTGACTTTGATTCCTGTTGAAGAAAATAAAAGAAATTATTTAGTTTGGAGAGACAGAAATAGAGACTTGTAGAATAAGGAAATATGTGTTACTTTAAGTCCCTTGTGAATGAATAAAATATTGTATCACTTTTTCGATTTGTCAGAGGTCCCGTAAACAAAAATAACAAACTTTCCCCGCGCTTGGCTACGAAGACGTCCTTGAATCAATGCGTGGGAAAATTTAGCCTGCTGACTTGGCATTCTGATTGGTTCATTCGACTTTCTGCATCTATTGTGATTGGCCAATGACATCAAAGATATCTTCATATCAAAGTGCGGAAAAATGCAGCCAGCCGACTTGGCATTCCGATTGGTTCATTTGACTGACTGCATCTGCTCACAGTGGTCAAAACATCTCTTGGTTTGATTTCGGGATTTATACACCTTAATTAAAGGAACTATATCAGGATTCTTTGATATTACTTTAAAACCCTAAGAACTCATTGCAATCAAGGAAATCCCTGAAAGAATGGTTCAGTTTTATTTCAAAATGATGTTTAACTGCGTGTAGGTCTTTGGCATTTAATAACCAGGATGGAATCAGATCGCAACTTGTAAGAACGGGGCCAAATTTTTCAAGTTAATGACCAACACTGATCATGCTTAGCTTTCCCTTCCCTTTAGAGTTAAGAGCACAACAACAGTTACAATCTCAGCTCAGCTTTAACCAAAACATTTTGGCACTCGCCAAGACAATTAACCCTTTTAAGACAAAGCAACATTAATTTAACTGCAGGAAATAATACCTTGTGAGAGCGAGCTTTGTTGAATACATTCCAAAATCTAAGAGTTTCATCTCCTGCTCCAGTAACTAGGGCTTCACCATCAGGGGACACGGCCTGTGAACACAACAACTATATGTCATTATATTTTTGTAGACTATGAGTAATCCCCATTTTTTCTCAGGATGAGCGAAACGCGAACACGCATGAAAATCATCCCCGAGTGAGAAAGGCGAGACGCGGTAGGGAGCGAGAAATGAACCCCTGCTGTGTCTTGCCTTCCTCGTGTTTCATTCGCTCTACTATCCCTAAGGAAAAATGGGGACTACTTGTAGTCTACAAAAATTATTACGTATAATTGATATAGTTGAGCACTTGAGTTCTCATTGCTTTGTTTTCTAATTGAAGTGGGCAGGGTTTAACTATTTACAAGGTAAATTACATCTACCAGGGTATTAAAGATAGAAATTAGGCCAAATTGGGCATCATACAAATGTTTGGTTTAATCATTCTACCGCTTGGAATAAATTACATCTGTTGGGATATTAAAGATATAAATTAATCTCAAATTCAAGCATCATATATATAATTATGACTTTAAAATTAATGTTATCAGCTTGGCACATGGCCAGGTAGGGGTAAATTACATCTACCAGGGTATTAAAGATATAAATTTATGCC